GAAATCAACATCAATGTTTTATAACCTGAACTGTCACTGACCCAACAGGTCACAGTCTAGTTTTGGTCTAGAGAAGTTCTCTTGAAAACCATCATTAAAATTGTGTGTGTGAGTGTGTGTGAGAGAGAGAGAGAGAGAGAGATTGATTTCTCAATGTTGGAAACAGAGGAAAGTTAAAATGTGTTAAAACAGAATTGAGCAGAAATGTGAAGAGATTGGGCTCATCGATCGAGTCTGAACCAGTTAAATGTAGATCAGAGCTCCTAATGTAACAAGTACCAGAAGAATGTTTTTTTTATAAAAAGAAAACTGCAATTTAACTCACTGGTCAATAGAATCTCATTACCAGATGCATTCCAGGTGATGTGACTTATTTTCGATAATTCAGGCTTGTCAATTTGTTCCTACATGGATCATAAGATCAATGTAATATTTGAAGCTATGTCAAATTGAGAATGGATTGGGACATTGTTGACAGAAACAGTAATATATTTCCTGTAGGATTTGAAATCAACTTTGAAAGTTTCAGACACAAAATTTGAGTTTGACTATTTTCAGAAGAAATTTTTCCAAGCTGAATTTGAAATTTTTTAATTTGATTTGAGGGTTTGTTTTTCGAGTGGCGATAAAAACTTTGCTTATGTTAGTGTTTGTGACATAATTGACATTTATGTTTCTTCAACAGACAGAATTGTGTGTAGTGCCATTCACTGCACAATCAATATGCAGTAAGAGGAATTTTTCTTGATTGCGTTTAGCAGTTTTACCTTTGCTCAAATGCTGCAGGTGGTAGATGAATTTGAAACTGAGGATTGATGCTGAACCATCATGGTATCTTTTTGAAGGTTCTGGTTTCCGATCATAAGAGCTGTTTTTCTGACATTTTTATACTGTTCCAGTTTGGATAATAGCCAAGTGTGTAAATCAAAATCAATTTAAATTGACATTCAGTAAGTGTCTGAAGTTGAAATTTGTGATTAATATATCCTGCAAAAGTAACAGACATCTGCATTGTTTTTTGACAAAAACAAACAACTATTGTTTTAAAATTGTTATAATTTTCTTTGTATTGTGTGTATAGATTTTATTTTTTATATACTAATAAAAGAATGAATGAGTAAATATTTTAATATAATGCATTATGTTTTGCATGCATGTTTTGATATTGAAAACAAAAAAAATTGAAACATGAAATAAAAAACAAATACATTAAAAAATACATAAACAATTCAATATACTTAACTTACTCCTTGTGGAGTTCTGGGGGTGCAATAAAAAGCAAAATCGAAAAAGTGACATGTTTCCTCATGTTTACATACGAGAAGATACCCACATTTGTTTCCTCTTTCTTTCATTTGTCATATTTGTCTCATTGACAAATAAAGTTATTATTTCATCATTTATAAATAGACAAAATAATTCACCTTCAGAAAGGCTATCAGGTATATCAATGATCGGGCATGGATGATAGTAGCTGTTAATGATCATCATCACTTCCCTTCATGTCACTATTGTGGTTATCACCTTCTACCGCTTCACCATCAATATCTACTTGAGTAAAGCCTTCAAAATCATCATCAGAGTCCTAACCAAAGAAAAACTTCCGAATAAAGGCATCATTGCATGTTGATGTGGCTATTTTTGTTTGCAAAAAAAATCACAAAAAAATTAATGTGGGTTTGATCAATGTTACACCTTATGTAGAATCTAGAAGAATTCAAAATGGCATTGGAAAATGGAAGTTTAACCTTGTTCCAAAGCAGTAGTGAGTGATTTCTAGCTTAAAATACTGGAAATAACAGAAATAAGTGTTTATTTATAGCAACCGCCTCAAGGCAACAGAATGCGCCTAGAGAAGCAAAAGGAGTGAATTCTATGGCGACAATTTTCGCCTCTAGTGTGATAAAGGTTAAGGAATATACAAAATACCTTACATTGATTGCACAACTCCGAGTTTTATGCCAAAGTAATTATCAAGTGCTGGTATATTTTAATTTTGGGTTGACACCAGTTTTGCAAAATTTCTGGTTATTGCGAGAATTTATTGTTGGGGTGGAATATTATTGTTACTAAAATATTTAACTGGATTATGGTTTAATTTTGAATTTAAGCCCAGATTAACATTTAAGATTGAAAATAAGAATAATAAATTCTAATTTAGAGAAACGCTAATGTAATCAAAGTAATAAACAAGAATAGATGTTAGAAAATCAAGGGATGGGGTGATTAACTATATTTTACCATGAAAATCAATAAAGTAATTAACAATATTATTAACAGAAATATTAATATTACTGAACTAACTAATAGTAGTGATATCAATAATAATAAAACATGTCAGGATAAAATAAAATAAAATAGAGCTATATATGTAAATAAATAAAATAAAAATGATAAATGCAAATAGATACGTAAATAAATAAACATGTTTCTAAAAGTAAGAGAAAAAACCAAGAAACAAAACAATAAGTTATAAATTAAAAAAGGTAATGGTAATATAAGGGAATTAATGGATTAGCAAAAATGTTAAACAGTCTAATATTAACAATAGTTGTGTAGTAAAAAGTAAAAATATTAATAAAGATAATATCAGTACTAGTATATGTGGATGCTGGATCCGGCTAGACTATATTAATTCAGGTCAACATGTTTGAGCAGAAATTTGGTTCTACGTAGGTAGGTGCTCATCAATTCCCTTCTTTTGTTTAAGAGATTAGGATTTTTTTATATTTTTCAAGATTATTAATTTTTCAGAAAGACATAAGTTACATTTGTTGCCTTTTCTGCTGAAGGGCTTAGCATTCACTAGTAATTCCCAAGTTATAAATGGGATTGTATTCTCACTTTTTAGCTTCCAGAAAAATTTAAAGAGCACAGTTCTGCTACTGTATTTGATATTGCCTAATGTCATTTGGTGGTGGTAGAAGCATGATTTCCAATAATTTTCTGTAGAGCCCACAAAATAATTGATCTCATCATCATATTTGATTTCAGCTTTATAAACTAACAATTTGAACATACATTTAACATTTAATGTGCGGGGTTTCTTTTTCTGCAATTGCAATTCTTAGTTTTAGGGATGTTGTTTTGAAGGTTGTTGAAGTTTTTGCATAGAATGGAACAGTTGTGCTGTGCTATATACTGGTCGATGTTTTTAGTACAACTGTAGATCTTATTAAACATAGGGGAATGACTGAAGTGCTTATGGATTAAGTTCAATTTTTCCAATATTAGTTTTGACGTTTTTGTTGAAGGACAGGTTGAACTATATGGTATTGTGTCTACATTTTGGTTTGTTGGCGTCCTTAATGCTATTTGCTGAGAATTCGAGGTTAATTTTATGGTTACTATGTTCTAGTGCTTCTATGTATTTGCCTTTATGTTTGTTAAAAAATGTCTTTATTGTTATAATTGTTGGACAGTCTAAATTGGACTGACTTATATAAATTATTCAGTATTCTAAATGGTGGTTGGATTGTTGATGTATGTATGGTTGTATAAATCTTTAGTATATGGTTTGCAGAGCCTATTAGATAGGTCAAATGTCACATCCAGGAAATTGATTATTTTAACATTGGTGGTGGTGGTAATGCTCAGATTGTGGTCTTTAAAGAACTTAATTAGGTTTTTCTTAGACAGCTTTTTGTGCACTTGATTTGTATAATCCCATCATCCTTACATAGATCAGTGTATTTAATATAAAAAATAAACCTAAGATGCCAAAGCAATAGTATGCTTGCAAGCTCCTGTGGAATCATACGCAATTATGTCAATACTAAAGTCAGGTTTGCTATGGTTAATTAGTAGTTCCAAAGAGATAATGCATGTCAACTGTGATAAACAAATTCTCAAGTTAAAGCACCAATTCTATTCTTAGATTTAGCAAAACAATCATACTACACAAGAATCAAAAAGTGAGTCTGGTACATTTACTATTGCAACACTGATGTTCTATCAGAAACCAGGCTCAAGGTCACAACTATAACTCCAGAAGATTGTACAAACCAATAAAAAGAAAAGAAAAAAAAAAGCTGCCTGTAAGTAAATATGTCAGGGCTATTAGGTTCATCATTTTGCACAATAATTTATATATGACACATCCACCATACAAGCCCCTACCTAGAGATCACAGAATAGATTCATACAACAATGTGTGTGATGAACCACAGAATTTCCACAGGTGATAAGTGCCTTGAAAAGACACAAAGCTGCTGGAGAAAATGGAATTACTCTTGAATTATATAAGGGTGGAAATGAAATCCCTATTAATTACTTGAAAAACTGGTCACTAGAATTAGACATCAGAAGATTGTTTCTCATGATAGGATATCTATCATGATGCTTTCTTCCTACAAGCAAGAAAAATGTAATAAATATGGCAACCATTGTAACAAGTTGATTAATGCAGTTGCCAATATCATAACAGCCTTTTCATAAAATACATGAAGCTGCTCATGAAAAGACCACACAAAAACCACTTTATCTGGCAGTCCAAAGTCCATCAGGAACATGCTGACAATTACCAGCAATTATTGACAATGAAAATAAGTGGTTCCCTACAAAGCCTAATGTAAATAATTTACCTGCAAAAATTATATTAAACTTCTAACACTGAACTGAAGAATAGAATACTTACTGCTACAAAATTACTGAAATAATGAAACAGTCTTCTGATCAGCATCAATTGGGCATTTCAGCAATTGAAAAATAAAAATAAAATCCTCATTTCAATCAATGCAATATGCTTTCCTAAACAGTCTACTGCTTAAAACTTTCATTATTTGAATTCTGCATTGGCTGTCTTCAGTGAGAACATAAATTGTATTTATTCAATAACAAAGAAATACTGGCAATTAAGCCAGTTTATTATATCCAACTTTTACCTTGAATGAAAGTAAATATCAAAGTGTTGTTTCTCCAACTAATCAGCCTACTACTTTCAAGATTCATAAGGTATAAGTAATATTATTAAAATGAAGTAGTTAATTTAGCATTCTTACCTTTTCTACAGTCTGAGAGAGACATTTGAGCCAATAGTCTCGAGCTGCAGTGTCTTCTGTAAGGTCAACTGTGTCTGGGATGTAGCTACAAGCATCCAATAAGAGTGGACAAGGGAGGAGTTCACAATTCAAACGGTCAAGTTCTAGCAAATCAAACTGCAAATAAAAATCAAGAATCTCACCTTTTATCACACAAGCTTAGCTAAATTTTTATGTACATTTACTTTTAAACTTATTTCTAAATTGATTGAATATATCAATATTTTTCAAACTTAGAATTAAACAGCCAAAACACTGTGATAATAATAACAACAAAGATGAGGAAATTACTCTGACTAAATAATGTAAATATTAAAAATACTTTGATGTAACGAGAAAACTTAAATTTGTACAACATTATTTATGCAAATACAAAATGCTGCCATGTGAACGGCACCTGAGAAATTATCTTTCATTTATTAAATTCAGGTCCTCACTCAAGTTTTATATAAAATTCATAACTCATGTTAATTCTGCATTTAGTATAATCTTCAGACTAAATTCGCATCCATACATATATATAAAATACAATGCATGTCTAGATATAAGTGTAACACATGTATTTTATATATGATAAAAAGATATTTATTACAATCATGAGCAAATGAATGACAAAATGAAAAATGGACTAGTTACATGGTTTCTTCTGAGAGTGAACTTCAGACAACAGTTTTTATTGATTGATTTCATCAATTTTATAAAAACATAGGTGAGAAATACAACAAATGTCAGTAAGTTTTACATTAAAAGATACAGACAATAAACATTTTAATTTTGATGTCCATTGTATCTCGATGTTAATCTTAAAAAGTGGAATGAGAAAAAGCTAAATTTAACATCTAAATACATCTGACATCACAACTGGAAAAACATGTTAATTCCATAAAGTTCACAATTGATTAAAACATTCAAATAAGAAGTTTTAACATCTATTTGGCAGAAAATCAAATTAAAGAGCTAATTGCATTGATTATTGGGAAATATTTTCAAATGTTAATGTCAAGGATTTGTGATGAAACATGCCTCACCATTTTTATTGGATTTAAAATCCAACAATCTTTCAAGAGCTGTTCTACTTTCTAGTAAGGAGACTAGTTTATATCTATTATTTTCCCTAAGAGTGTTCAATTTCATCATTTATGGCTAATTAATAACTTGAATTAACAGAAATGATAGTAGCTTGATATGTCTTGGTAATGAATAACAATAGTCTATCGTGTATTTCACAATGTCATCAATGTTACTTACAACAACATAATATTCAAGATATTTCAATTTATCCATACTTGGATATCAATTAACAAAATTAATTGGATTTTCTTTCAGTACACTCCAATCTTGCATTCTAACCAACAATTACACCTCAAGATCTTGACTGAGTAGTATTTGTTTCTTGGTGACTTCAACCTTGATGTATGACCTGATAATCTATAACATTATTTGTATTAAAATGGTGACCTGTTTCTAGATCTTGGACAGAAACAAAGTTTTTGTTCTGTTTCATCTGGGACAACCTTCTCACTTATATTTTCCTCTTCAATTGGATCAGTTTCAATATACATATGTCTAAGAATTAATTCATCACAGAGAATAGATGATTTCTGGTATCATGCTTCTTTATATTGTACACAAAAATAAACCAAGACACAATGTTGCAGATTCTTTGAATTTTTTCAAGAATTCAATCTATTCTCAATATATACAGCAGTACTAACAGCATATTTCCACATCTTTGGTAATTTCAACTTAAGTAATAGACAAGGTGGCATTTCATCAAGAGACTGTCAGAATCTTTTCATATTGACATTTTAATGTGGTTAATTGAGAGTAGATTTTTCATGCTTCACATAAATACTTAAGTTATTCAAATCCTTTATATATAAATTATGTAAAGCTGTCAGTATCAATAGATTTCACGGATCCATACAGTATGATTTCAGCTAAATATTTCTTCATATTTTCTTAAGAAATCATCAACAAAACCAAAATGTCTCTGACACTATCTTTAACAATAGAATTGAATGGACCAGCTAAATCCCAACACAATACACAAAACAACCATTTTAGAGGATTTTTGTAGTTACATTTGACTCCACAGAAAATTATTCATTAGGTGTAGCAACTTCTTGGCTGAATTCATAATAGCAAGTCATCAATAACATCTAGTTCTAGTTGGTGGCAACTAGCATAATGTTGCAGCCCCACCAAGGTAACGATATCAGATATGTTAAACCCATTGATGATTGCTACAAATACAAATCGCAAAACCTAAGACAGGAGTTTACCAGTTTTCATATGCAAAGTCTCTACTTAAAATGTCAATAGCAAAATATTTTGACAAGATAAATGCAACAAGTGAGTTTTAATAGACATTATGAAAAGTAATGCGCAAGTTTAGAACATATCTCCTTAATTAGTAGATTCCTATCTGATCATCAAATTCATCTGATTCATTAGGTGAACAGCTCATGGCAAAGACTGCTATGATCTTGTTACCTACATTCAAAATAGTATATTTAATTTTTCAAATTCAGAAAAGAACAAAGGGTTTTTATTAATCATACAAAAAGGACAACACACTGTGTTATTTTGGGAGCAACATGATTCACGAGGATTTCGAGGACTTGCAAGTCCAGAACTATTTGCAAAGTTTTCACCCCAGCAATAATTCTCAGCATCTAAAAAGCAAAAAGAAAGAAGAAAAAAGTTATACAATAACTGAACTATGTTTAGTTCTTTACTAATCAATTTTCAAAAACCATTTGAATTTCTTTTCAGCTATTTAGTCAGGTTCAATTATAATTAAGCTGGAATGTTTATTTACACATATATACATGGAGTCAATTTATTTATTCTTTACAAACATTTTTTCTTAAACTGAAAGATAGTGAAAATAGACATTATTTAAGAAGAAATCTTAGGTTCTTTTTTGTATTACAATTCTTGATTAATTTAAGTTATTAATCAGAAAGGCTTAGATTAACATGTGAAATTATTTAACACTGCATAAAGAATGTCAACTTGCTATTTTAAAGCCATATCAAATCTGTACTTATTAATAATGTTGATTTATTATATAATAAATTTATAGAAACCAAACACGATCCAGGGGAGATAACATTAGTATTAGTTAATTAAATGAGTGAAATTTGGTCACATTTAAGATTATACCAATACAACATGAAATTATAATTTCTTTTCGTGCAACGTTTGTTTCACCAAGAGGTAATACACAGGATTGTGATGAAATTGTTTCAGTCATTGCTAATGATTTTCATTAATTAAAATGCCATATTTATAAAGCTTACATTTGTTTAATAATTCTCATTAAGAGTATTTGTTAGGATGATGAGCTAATTTCTTGTTACTAATGGATATTAAAGCTTAAAATTAAATATTACTGTTATCCTAACGAACCAGTTTCTCAATATAATTCCCAAATTCAATGAAATAATAACAATATTTGCATATTTTAAAACAATCATAATCGTAATGATAGAAAGCAGTGTGATTATGATTGTAAATGACTAGAGAAAATTTTACTCCAACAGACATTTAGAATTGACATTTTTTTCTGTTTAGGAATGTCCATCTTATTTTCAACAATTTTATCCTACTATTCATTCTCAAAATCTTTAATCAAATATTCAGTTTTGACATCAGAAAGACAACATGCAAAACAAGAACATTTTCTTAAGACTTATGTTAGTATATAATCTTAATGCATCATTAATTCAAAATGACAACTTAAGTACTAGTAAGAATAATCAAAATAATATATTGATTTTTTATTCAATAAAAAGTGATTAAATGAAAAAAATTAAATGTATGGACACTGAAAGAAATCAATGATAAACTTACGTTCTTCCTCTGCTCCTATAAGAAAAGCACCAATAGCACCAAGGTAGCCTTCATGACGAAGAAATAAAGCTTGAATCTGACCCTGAGTGGTCAAAAAGAAAAAAAAAATTATATGAACAATTGTCTTAAAACAGACTTTCAGAACTTTTTCTATTAGACAACTGAAAATTTAGATTGTATATGTGCTCTGAAACTGACAACTATCAGGTCATCCCATAAATTCTGTCCGAAATATTATATATGTAATTTCAATTAAATTTTACGGTATTCTAAAATTTCAAATGATACTGATTGATAAACATATGAATTTAGAAACCTTTAACTTAATTTCTTTTTACAGAAAAATTTGACTGAATTAATTACTCAAATTAGACCCTCAAAAAGGGAGGTGTCAAAGGTTCATTTATGCTTTATGAGTTTAAAAAAGGAAGTGACTTGAAATATTCACTCAGCTTATGAAGAAGAATGCCTAAATTTGATCACTCATTCCTTAGTATTCAAAATCCAGACAGAACTTATGGGATGACCCGATATTTAAAAAAATTACTAATAATAAAATGTGAATTTGATAACGATTTGTCTGTCGTGAATTTTTAGAACTCTTCTGATCATTATAAAAATAAATTAAATGAAAAGCAAGGATTTAAATAATTAAAAGAAAAGAAAATTGTTTAAATTCTTAGTGCATTATTTGAAAAACATCCATTTAAATGAAAACTACACTAAGTTTTACATTTTTTTTTCAATTTGACATCATAAAAATATTGTTAGCAACTGATTAAGAAAGTTCAGTGTTCCATTTTTAAAGTTTAAAAGACCAGGTTACAATTTTACCAGCTATCTTAATTTTATAATCTTAGGGGATTTAAAAATAAATGCGTATAGTGAGAAAACGATCGCAGGTATAACGTATCTGTAGCTTTATCAACTTATTTAAATACTGAATACATATAAGGGGAGATAATCCCCATGCAATTGCAAAAATGTTACTGAAGGTCAAAAATAATTAGAACAATGTTTCAATTATGAAACTGACAACTATTTAAAAAAATAACTAAATAATAGAATCTGTGAATTTGATATCAATAGATTTGTCAAGTGATAATTTCAATTTTGGTTAATAAGCATTCATCATATCTATTATTTTGTTCATCAGCATTTTACCATTTATGTTTCAAAGACTATTTTGGAAATGCCTTATCAGTTAGCTTAACAACAAAATTATATAAATATTTATTAGTCTAGCTTAGTCTTGAACACACAATAACATAGCAACCAATAAGAATTGAATTCTTTAGCAAAGAATGAAAACCAACTTGTTAGTCACTCCACTATAACAAATACACTATTACAGCATTGGCAGTATGTCCAAAATTCTGAAATGAAGAAGCAGAATTTAAAGACATCAAACTAACATCTCAGAGCATAAGGTTCAATATGAAGAACTAGCAAGCCCCAGAAGTCCTTTGTAAAGATATTAAAAAAACTATTCTGAGAGACAACTCAATGTAGCATCTTTAAAGAAGGATAATTATACCAAATGATAAAAATGATTGTAGAAGCATGTATTATTTTCTTGTATTTTCTCTTATGATTGCAGCTGACCTTGCAAAAATTGACTGGCTGACAAAGCTGAGTATCAGGGCTTAGTTGAGATCAGTCATGCAAAGTGTTCTTGACTATTGTGAAAATTGACATCCTTA